GCCCTTTCGCTAGACGATGATACTCTTGATTAAAACTTATCGTCATTTCGCGAAACAAACGTTATCATTATTGAGTTAAGCTAGCTGTATGAGACGAAGTCAAGGTTTTAAATACTCTCGATATTCGCTGATCCTGACGCGAATAGTTGTTTTGGTATAATTTTGTAACGAGTGTAATGTCGAGCTTGACTTTTCATTGGTGTTATCAAGATAATTTAACTCTCCTCCTCGAATAGCGCCTTTCTAGCTTTGTAACTGGTTCACCAAATCTCGACTCCCAGCCATTATACTGTGTTTGACCTTGTGTGGAAAATGAATGCGGCAAGTGTTGCCTTGGTAATCAGCGATGTCGAGCCTTTTCTACGATTTGAAGTCAATTTGATTCATTGCAAAAATGACTAAAACCATTGTGACAAAGTTAGCTAAGAAAACCTTTATTAGACAAATCTCCTCGAGACTGATTTACTGAAGAAACTGATTTATGCTTTTTGCGTTTGAGAGAAAGATGGGAGGTGCAAAGCAAATAGGCTACATTTCAGCGTCAATACCTGTGAATATGCAATGTAACTGCGTATGTAAGTCTGATTTGAACAGATTTATTAATCGCCTTTTGATGTGACGTAATAGTTAATAAGAACAATTCTCTCTAGTAACAACTACATTAATAAAATAATATCTCAAAAGGAGGCCGCCAATCACCTTGTGGGGTATTTTAGGAGGATCCTCTAAAAGATAAAGGTCTAAAATACATTTTAATGTAAAAAGTCTAAAATACACTATAGTAAGAAATTTAAAAACTTTAAGATTACAANGCCCTTTCGCTAGACGATGATACTCTTGATTAAAACTTATCGTCATTTCGCGAAACAAACGTTATCATTATTGAGTTAAGCTAGCTGTATGAGACGAAGTCAAGGTTTTAAATACTCTCGATATTCGCTGATCCTGACGCGAATAGTTGTTTTGGTATAATTTTGTAACGAGTGTAATGTCGAGCTTGACTTTTCATTGGTGTTATCAAGATAATTTAACTCTCCTCCTCGAATAGCGCCTTTCTAGCTTTGTAATTGGTTCACCAAATCTCGACTCCCAGCCATTATACTGTGTTTGACCTTGTGTGGAAAATGAATGCGTCAAGTGTTGTCTTGGTAATCAGCGATGTCGAGCCCTTTCTACGATTTGAAGTCAATTTAATTCATTGCAAAAATGACTAAAACCATTGTGACAAAGTTAGCTAAGAAAACCTTTACTAGATAGGTCTCCTCGAGACTGATTTACTGAAGAAACAGATTTATGCTTTTTGCGTTTGAGAGAGAGATGGGAAGTGCAAAGCAAATCGACTACATTTCAGCGTCAATACCTGTGAATATGCAATGTAACTGCGTATGTCAATCTGATTTGAACAGATTTATTAATCGTCTTTTAATATGACGTAATAGTTAATAAGAACAATTCTCTCTAGTAATAACTACATTGATAAAATAATATCTCAAAAGGAGGCCTCCAATCACCTTGTGGGGTATTTTAGGAGGATCCTCTAAAAGATAAAGGTCTAAAATACATTTTAATGTAAAAAGTCTAAAATACACTATAGTAAGAAATTTAAAAACTTTAAGATTACAACTATATTTAAAACTTAAAAAGGGGTGTAAACTATATAAAACGTAAATTGTTCCTATTTTGATTTATCTATTTTTAATCTTTTAGCATTTGGTTGCAACTTCGATACATCCATTTGCGGATTTATTCAGGACAACAATGATAATTTCAACTGGACCCGAAATATGGGAGACACTTCGACTGCTGGTACGGGACCATCCGCTGACCACACCACCGGGAATGGTATGAAAATGTTACCTTGATTGCATCTTCCTCCTTTACTTCTTTTGAAAATAATAAAAAAATGATTTCATTTATCTTTACGCTGGAATTTTACCCGCAAAGGAGGGGATCTAAAAATACGTAGA